GTCGACGTAGTCGCCCACACGCAGCCCCCCAAAATCGCCTAAGCCGGCAATACCAACTCGCCTACCCACGACGTGCTAGGTCGCCTAACCAGTTGACCTAGTCGCCCACACGCACTCCCCACACCTCTCGGAAATAGCCTAAGCCGGCAATACCAACTCGCCTAACCCCGGCGTGCTAGGTCGCCTAACCAGTAGACCTAGTCGCCCACACGGGACCCCCACACCCCATCGGAAATCAACCTCAGCCGAGAAGGCTTTTTTCTTTTCATTTTTACGTTGGCATGGAAGGCTGTCAGTACTATGGTGGATTTAATTTCCAAGAAAATCCTTTGGTATGATGTTGCCTCCTCTTTCAACCTTGCCATTGGCATCCTAGTAAATAATAGGAGTATGTAGATAGTGTGAAGTATTCGTATAGGCAAAGACTAAAGAGGTTGTGATTCTGTTATACTGTTTGTCCACCTACTGCAGAACCTCATGATTCATACAATTTCATTGTGAATTGCCTGGAGAGGTTTCCGCAGTACAAGTACCGTGATTTCTACATTGCAGGAGAGTCATAGTTTACTCTTTTTTGCTGCTATAATTGGTTTGAGGAAGCACATCCTGAACCTGAAAGGCTTGTATCTGACCTGTAATTGCTTTACAGGATTTCAGAAATCACCAAAATCAAACCAAACTCAGTGAGCAGCTTTTACAGGGTTGCATGAATTTTTTCTACTACTAGTTTTCAGGCTTTTTTCGCCTGGCTACTTTTGTGTTTTTCTAAGCAACTAGACTTTACTACAAGTTTTTTTTTGTAAGCAACTACAAATAAATTATTGACCAGCTTTTACTATACACAGATTACTAACACAAATAACTCTGCTTCTTTTCTCTTCTTTTTAGCAGAAACAAAGGTGCAAGACAATAGAGAAGATAGAATTCAAGATTCAGCAACTTTTATCTACCATCCAGTTCTACAAGGCACGGGGATGCAAGTTCATGGCCAAAATAATTGGAACAACACTTTTACCTTTGCTGTTTTTCACTGGGAGAAACTTGCCCAGCTCTGCCAATATTTTTGCCCAATATTCACCAGAAATTTTGCCTGATCAGCATGAAGAGTTGCAGATACAATTACGTTTTCAGAATTTCCCCATGATCTTTTGCCTTGTTTTCGTCTCTATTTTACTCTGTTTTTTCGCTGTGGGAGGAGAGCTCCACAACGCTAGGCCATTGCGTCCAGCGGTGGCTGGGGAAGGAGTTGTACGGGGGATCTGGCTGGTGGGCGTAGGATTTTTTGTGCTGGATGGAGGGGAGGATCACGTGAGGGAAAGGATGGCTGGTTGTCAGGACGTGGCAACAAGATGGGGAAGCTGGACTTGCCTTCTTTAGCACGTGGGGTGGGGGACCGACAGGGCACTTTCCTTAATTGCCGGCCGCGAGATACGCCCGCGTAGCGCGCGGGCGCTGTGTAGCAGCGTCCTTCATTTTTTCCATTCAATTATCGCAATGCTTGTAAAATTAACCTTTTGATGACCACAAGGTTCTCTGCGGTGGCGGTGCCGTTGAAGCGCGGCGGATGTGTACTTGCAGCTGCATCGGCGGCAGGGGCAGGGAGCCCTCACTTCGGCAGTGGGGAGAATGATAACCCGTACGAGGTAGAATTGGTTATTTTCATGTTTAGCAATTGGGAGCCGCTCTTGTGAGCATGTTTGCCGGCCTTGCTGTAACTTATGGTCCCCGTTGTCAGATTTTGGGCATCAATCCGCTTGATGGGTTCGACCAGGTGAAGATGGCCTACAATTGGCGTCGAAAGAACGCCGAGAACAGTGGGGATGCTGCATACTTGTTGAAGGTTGTTTTGGGCCCTTGTCATTCTGTATTTGGTGCTTGCGTTGGTGTTAGTGTGTCAATGAGTTGGGGCACTTTTGATTTCAGTTAGAGAGGGCTTATGATACGGTCATGATGGAACAGCTGCAAAACCGGAAGAAAGGTGTGGCATATGGATCAGTCCAGGTTAGCTTTGATGACGGGCTTGTCCTTGTTAAATATGGAAATTCATATTGTCCATCCAATCAAATGTTCACATCAGCTGGTATACGACTTTGCTTAGGAGGAAGCGGACCATACAGACCAGGGGCGACTGAATGCCAGGGGCGACACGGGCGGCACGGTGTTGCCCGCGGCGATCGCTGCCATCCGGATGCCGGCGCCCGTCGCTCCTGGTGCTAGGCAAGTCGGAGGGAGATTCTGGGCTCTCGCCGAATCTGATGAAGAGGAGGACGACGATGGAGATGGCTCCGGCGTCACGTCCGATGGTTACTCGCTGACGACTTCGGACGTGATTTGTGAAGCTTTCAACCCTGGGTATTCGGAGGAGGAAGTGGCTACAATCGTCGAGGGAGTCGTGCCGATTGACGATCCGGCGCGGCAAGGTCTTCATCCGGAGGAAAACGTGGAGGTGGTTTGCCGGATTGTTCATCGGAGGACGGCGACTTCTGCGATCCGGCCATGGAAAGGTCCCTTACCTAAGGTCAGTCTTCCAAACTTAACTGTTTTTGATCTGATTAGACCGGATTCTTGGACTACGGTTACTAGAAGAAAGGTTACTCGCCGGACTCGGGATCGAACGGCGCCGGAGGTGACCGCGGCGG